AGAGGGTCCTCGATTGACAACTGTGTACAAAACATATGGGTGGTCTTCTAAAAAAGTTGAAGTACAAACAAAAGAGGAACAATAGGGGTTCCCCAGTTGCAGGCAAATGCACACTTGTGTGTGTGGATGCCCAATATCTACCTGCAACATAGACTGCGCACAGTGCGTAGGGCATTATACTCAGGACTTGACAAAATGCCGACCACGTGCTGCCTAGAGCAGATCGCATGTATGGAGCACCAAAAGAACAAATGTTTAAAAATCTAATCTGTGCCTTTTCGGCGGTAAGTATAATGTTTTGTATTATATATTGTATTGTACGTGTCTTATTGGTTTGAAACCTTGCAGGTAGCTAGGAAGGGAAGGTTCAGAAATGGAAATTGACCTCACGTGATGGCAATGCCATCAGCAGACGAGTCACGTGACATTTAAGGTGCACCATTTAAAGTACAGTATCTCCTAAAGTGTATATCCAATTTGGTTCAAATGTTGCACGTACCTTGAAAAGGGAGTGCTTGAGAGGAATTTTGCCGTCGTGATAATGACGTCATCAGGGGACAAGTCACGTGACATTAAATGTGCACTCTTTAAGGCCCCATATCTCCTGTAGTACACGTCAGATCGGGTTTAAATCTCGGAGATATCTTGAAAAAGGAGTGCTTTAGAGGTATATTTACCTTATGTGATGATGACATCATCAGGAGACAAGTCATGTGACATTAAATGTGCACTCTTTAAGGCCCCATATCTCTTGAAGTACATGTCTGATCGGGTTCAAATCTTGCAGATATCTTGACAAGGGAGTGCTTTAGAGGAGTTTTGATGTCATGGGATCATGACGGTATCAGGAGACAAGTCACGTGACATTAGAGGTGCACATTTCAAGTCCCTATATCTCCTGAAGTACATATCTGATCGGCTTCAAATCTTGCAGATTTCTTGAAAAGGGGGCACTTTAGAGGCATATTTACCTTGCCTAATGATGACGTCATCGGGAGACAAGTCATTTGACATTAAAGGTGCACTATTTAAGGTCCTGTATCTCCAAAAGGACATGGAACGGCGTGTTGAAAGTTAGCTGATATCTGGAAGGGGATGTA